GAGATGGTCAGCTTCATGATGAATGCCAGCAGAGAGAAGGAGCTGAAGCTGAATGCCACCACAGTACTATAGGGGCCTAAATTCGTACAATGGGCCCCAAAATACCCTATTCTACTTTTACGTACAAGGCCCCTATGTTATAGGGTCAGAGGGGCTTCAGTGTTCAGGCTCCTATGAACCTATAGCTGCCCTGCCTAGTCTCGTACGAGCAGCGGGTCTGCTTTGTGGCCAAATCTGTTATTCAGAAGAAGGCGGAACCTAATCCCGAAAGCTAAGCCCCATGGTGCTCTGAAGAGCGATATCTAATGCCGAAACCAGTACCCCTCAGAAGTTTGTCCACTTGGCTGCGGCCAGAGCCTCTACACCCTGCCCCGAGCTTCACTTCAAGGCCAGTGTGAGTTATGCTAAGAGTATGTCGGAATGTTCAAAGGCTTGTAACGTAAATCAGTTCCTCACAATGGCGAATAGCATCCGGTGCCGTTTCTGCAGCCACGGCACACCGCCCAGGAGGAGCAGAATTACCAACCTCTGGGGACCATCGGAGAACAAAAGCAGGCGGTGGGTGCTGAAACGAGGGACTCACAGGGCGTTGCAGTGTGTTAAAGGGCTTGACTGCACTGTGTCATAGGGCTTACCTCCAAAGCGGCAGCTCAGAGCCAGTTCACAATGCACAAGGTTTTGGGTTTCTCAGGGCTCCGGGGCGGACCGAAGCATCCTCTTATCATGGCAAAGCATCGCTTCATGCGGGTCCTTGGAGCTTGGAACTGGTGTTGAAGGAAGCCACAGCCAGACATTCACATCTTGTGCCAACTCCCTCACCTTGTAACACATGCTAGAGACCAACACGTCCTCCAGAAGGTTGTGCAATCCCACTGCGACATGTTGTGATGTTTGTCACAGTCCACCGGGAATTGTGGGAGGGGAGCTTGGAGGACCTTCGTTTGACGCTTGATTTGCTTCAGCCTTCGGACCCTTCGCCCTTGAAGCTTTCTCCATCGAAATGCCTGTAAGTCATGAGCGCCGAGCCCTGAATCCTCCAGACGAGCGACACCTCGCTCGGCGAGGGTCCGCTCGTGTGCCGGGTGCACAGAAGGGGACGCCTTCATGGCTTGGTCTAGGAGTCTAGGAATGACAGGGTGCAAGCTTGAGGGTATAGGCTCTGCCACGCGTGGACATATTAGATATGGTGTGGTAAAGAAAGACCCGAAGTCAAATTCGGTGCTCTTGTGTAGGTCCTTTTCCAAAGGCTTGGAAGACCGGAGATGTTTCTTGATCATGGAGCATGGAGATGGTGCCTGGTGCAAGTGCTGGGGGCGACCCTGATCGTTACAGTCCACCTGTAGGAGTGTCTGAGCACTGAGGGCCAATGGTAAACGCGCCGCCGGTCAGCATCGGCAGCAGGTGTAAACATATCCAAACCTTTAAAGTCTCTGTTCCACGCCGATCCTAAAAGCCTCTATGTCAGTTCCGAAAGTAAGCCCTGTTACTTTTAGAGCGATATGGGGGCATCAGAACATCTTAGCCTCTAGCGTAGACACTCAATTTAGTAGAACCTCCATATGATCACGAACCCTCCCCTAAAGAAGGCGTGACCACGGCAGGTCACATGAAGAGGGAACAATTCAGCGAGCGATCTGAGATGCAATTCGCTAGATGACTTCGATAAAGTTCAGTGCCAGGTAAGGAGGTGACAGGCTCCACACCAGTCCTTGGCCTGAGAGCCCGCTGCCTTCGGCTCAGTGTACCCTCTTCCCCCATTGTAGGGGTCCGAATAAAAAACTTCGTAGTTGGTCCTTCTGCAACTTAGCAGTGCAATACTAAGCGTCTTCCCAAAGCCTTAAACCATTATATTATTGACTACATCATTTCGTTTCCCCCCCAAAGCCCTCAACCCTAATTACGTATTAACCGCCCTATACCGCCTTACCGCCCTATGCTACGAAGGTTCCCCGTACTCGAACAGCGAGTCGGAGTTTGGGCAGGCTGGAAACCCGGAGAGGTTGAGCCTTTGGCGGGGTGAGTTCTTACTATCAAGGCCGGGATTATTGTTCCTAGGGTTCCTCATCACCCTGTTATACTTATGCTATAATGTACCCCCGAACCCTATTCGAGTTAGTAAGGCCGCCATATCGCCCTGTTGGGAGTCAAATGCATATTAGTGGTTTGATGTTTGGCGCAGGAATTGGGGTTTGGGTTATAGGGTTTGGGCTGCAGTTTCAGCTGCTATTGCGAAGCGTCACTTCTGACCACTATTCCACTGCTCGAAAACCTCCCCTCCATGCGGGGGGGAGCCTTGCATCATTGCCCGCACATATTCACATATTCGGCTGGACGACGGGAAAACCGGTCGCTTGTCGATCCCGACGACTGTCTGTCAGGGCATAAGCCTCGAAGTAGAAGGTCTGAAGGGCCCAGGCTGTTGAGACCCTTCCTGTAACTCTGAATCCCAAACAGGGTGGACATTGGTACAACATCTTGCTGCTTGCGAAGTTGAGCCGGACTCAGCCGGGGACCCGGCCATGCGCTTGGAAGTCAGACCCATTTACGACTTTCGTGTTGAGGGCTTCCAGTTTTGCTCAGCGTCTGCACGCAGGTTTTGGGCTTCAAGGAGGACTTCTGTGACTTGATGGTTTCAACAATTAAGATTCCCAGTTCTGCGCGGCATACACACAACTGCCCTACGCCCCGAAGCTACACCAGTCACCTCCCTGTACGCACCACAACCCCAAGTTCTTGAAAGCACACCACAGGCTAAACACGCAAAACAATCGGCCGAACACCCTTACGGGCTCCAGCCTAACCCCCGAACGAATCTCAACCCTGATTCCATCCCTTACGACAGTGGCTCCCTGCTGGCCGCTGTGGTGGCTTTGAACCTCCTGGCAGCTGCCATGCTGGCTTTTTGGGCCCCGACCCCGGTGTAGGGCTCATAGGATGCAGGTGTGTTGATTTAGGGGCTTCATCAGCGCTCCGTACACTGGCACCATCAGCTGCATTACGACTCCGAATTTGAAAAACGAACCCTGCGATTAGCAATCACTGCCAAGTGCTGCATGCGACGATACTCGGAGAACCAAATTGCAATCAGTATAAAGCACCAGTTACAGTAAGAGATGTTATAGCACGCGGCTGACATTGCTAAACAGGCAACCACACCTGAAGTCCTGTATGACATCATGGGCCTTCATACGCGGATGTTGTCTAGCTGCCTTGCACGGAGAGCGATCAGCAGTGTTCAGCCCAATGCAATGCGATTCGCTGCCCCAAGTGTGCGCGAATTTGGCCCACCCAACCCAAAGGCTCTCCGATTGATTTTTTTCGAGCGAGGATGGTGTTTTCAAGCGCCGATCGAAAAACAAAAAAATTCAAGCGTTCGATTGATAAAATCAATCGAGGATCCACATAGTACACGAAGTATAAATTCAATCGAGGAATCGAGCGGGGACCTTCATAAATTCAATCGAGGAATCGAGCGAAGAATCGAGCGTAGGATGTTAAAAATCAATCGTAGACATCGCAAAATTTCGTATTGTCCTGTCTAACAAAACTGATCTATATATATATATGTTATGTATGTATGTGTATATACATATGCCTATATATATATGTATACATATACATATACATATATGTATACATATATACATATATATATACACATACATACATACATACATACATACATACATACATACATACACATATATGTATATATAGCATATCGAGGCAACTGTGGATTTTATATCTAGATAGATAGATAAATAGATAAAGACATATAAAGATATATAGAGATATGTGAAGATATGTAAAGAAACATAGATCGATATAGATAGACAGATAGATGGATGCATAGATAGATAGATGTAGATTGTTTCAGTGCAGGTTTTGATTTTTGTGGTTCCGGGTTTGATGTTTATAGGGTTTAAGTTGGGGTTCAGGTTATCGGGTTATGCGGTTTCTATATATAGGGTTTATGGCCTATAGGGGTTTTGGGGTTTAGGGGTTTCGGCGCATAGGGTTTGGGCCTATATATTCACATACATACATATACATACATACATACATACATACATGTATATCATATATACATAGGGGTTAGGGCCTATAGGGGTATGGGGTTTAGGGGGCTTGGGGTTTAGGCCGGGGTTTGTGGTTCAGGGTCCGGGGTTTGGGGTTTATGGTTTAGGGCTTATAGGTTATTATATGTAGGGTTTCAAGAGTCTGGACAGATTCTTGATGCCTGGTCTGGATAGACCTTCTTTCTTAGTATAGGGTTAACGAGTCTGGACAGATTCTTGGTGCCTGGTCTGGACAGACCTTTTTTCTCTAAACCGTAGACCCAAAACCCTGATCCCTAAGCCCTAAACCTTAAACCATAAACTCTAAACCATAAACCCTAAACCGTGAGTCTGGACAGATTATTAATGCTTGGTCTGGACAGACCTTTGTTCCTTAAACCCCAAACCCTGATCCCTAAGCCCTAAACCTTAAACCATAAACTCTAAACCATAAACCGTAAACCGTGAGTGTGGGCAGATTCTTAATGGTCTGGACAGACCTAAACCTTAAACCATAAACCCTAAACAATAAGCCCTAAAACCTTAAACCGTGAGTCTGGACAGATTCTGGATGCCTGGCCTGGTCTGGATAGACCTTCTAGGGTTTATACGGCTCAAGATTTCTGGATCCTGGATGGTCTGGCCAGACCTTTTTATTTACCAGGTTGTTTTGTGTGCTACTTTTTCCTGTCTGTCCAGACATTGATGGTCTTGGCAAACCTTTTTTATTTACTAGGTTGCTTTGTGTGCTACTTTTCCTGTCTGTCCAGACATTGATTCAGCCATGAAATTATATGCTAAACACAAGATGCACCATGCACGACATGTCTGTCCAGACATTGATTCAGCCCTGTCGACTTCATCCTAAAACACAACATGCACCATGCATGACTTGTCTGTCCAGACATTGATTCAATCTTATTGAGCACGTTTTTTTTCTCCTCACTCCTCATCTTCATCCAGATTCAGCCATCCTCGCAGCAGGAGCTCGTAAGCTAAGGCGAATTTTCCACAAATCTTCAGTGGAATCTGGTAGCTCGGCGTTCCTCTATCACATGAAGCAGCGATTTTCTTGCACACCGACATGAAACTCTCAGGGCCATAGGTCCAAGCAAGTCTGGGTGCCATCCATTTACACTGAACATGAAAATGTGCCATCAAGTGGAACTTCTGGGTGACACTGTACCTCTTCTTTCCTCTGTTGAAAGCATCTCTGCTCAAGAAAGTGTAGTGCAGGAGCAATCTGTCAATCGCCTTCTCCATGCTTCTGTGCCTGGTATCCAATATAACAACAACAAAAGTCTGCCGTTTATGTTAACCTTTATGCGGTTTATTTCAAGGTTCAGGACTTGGTATATGGGAAAACCACAAAGCTCAAAGTTCAATTCATTTCACATGCATGCAAGCTACTCCTTTCTGTCAAAGCGATACTTCTGGCAGTCACACAGCTCGTAAATCTCGTCCATGGCCTTCACTGCTTCAAGACGATGCTTTCCTGCCACTGTATCCTTGTACAAGTCTGCCAACCCCACAGCCACACTCGAGAACTCTCGTATTCGTCGCCCTTTCACATGGCTCAAGCACGGGTACCCAGTCTGACTTTGAATGTTCCCTTTGCTCAACTTCGGGATTCTGGCAGCAGCTGGGGTCGACTGACTCTCGTACAGCTCCTGGATTCTTGAGTTCAAAGCTCCAATGGATGCAGCGAAGCTCCCAGGTAGGTGGTCCTCCAAGATGTCGTTGATCAAGTTTCCATACAAATGCGAACTGACTCCAAGGTCTAGCATGTGCAACACATCAAGTTTCGGGGACCAAAAATTGATCCCTGGAACTTTAAACAAAGGGTGATCATTTTCTCTTGGATCTCTGGGTTGCTTTCTCCACTCAGCACTTGCTCTGAAGTCATTGAACGGGGCGACAGCATCTGCATCTTTGAAAAGGTTGTCACACTTGCAGTAAGGACACAAATTATTGCTGTTCGCAGTAGGCCATCCGAATTCCTGCGAGAAGAACTCCAAGTCTCCTACCAAAGCCATGACCACAGCTTTGTGTCGCGAGGCCAACAGTGTCAAACTTTCACAGATTTTGTCCCACAAAGCTGGCCACGATCCAGCATTTGCTGATTTCGGCAAACAGCCGATCAGCAATTCCGAGGTCTTAATCGACCTCTTGGTTATCATGCATCGCATGCTTATAATCAAGAGCGAATCTGTCTCGCTGAAAGAGGCGTGATCGCCGTGGAGGATCAACGGAACCGGTAGCGATTCCATCACATTCACGTCTCTCCAGAACTGTCTGCTTCTCCACAGCTGTTCATTTTCTCGAAAGTTTTGGCATTGCCAAAATTCTCGGATCTCATTCTTTGTTGCCTTATATTTCTGAAAAAGCCAATAGCAGCGAATCAAAGTTAAACTCTATCCTTAACCACTGAGAAAACCCTGCCAAAAAAAACCTGCAAAAAACACAAAACTCAAAGCTCAAAGTACTCGCCAAGTTGCAGTGAACATCTCCAGCACATCGTTCTTCTCCAGCACATCGAACCACTCGTGGGGAAGAAGCAAAGGCACCTGCTTCGACTCCACCACGGCACCACCAGATTTCTTGTCTCTCAAGGACACCGGGGTGCTGATCAAGGTACTTTCTGGCGCTCTGCACACATTCAGCATCTTCATCAAGTCTCTGTGGCAGTTCTGAGCACTAGTGCCTTGTCCTCCCAGCATCTGCAAACTCGCCAGGTCTGGGCTGGGTTCTTTGCAGCTCCGAACTGCTGCACTCGCCATTTTTTGCACTTGAGCAGCTGAAAGTCGTCCAAAAGCGAACTCTTCCAGTAACAAGAGTCTCAGAGGCGACGGGGCCGGTTCAAGAAGGTTAGCCTTCCTCTTCTTCCCCATGGCCTCTCTCACTTCTCACCTCTTTGGGTGAATCTACATCTTCGAAAACATGCTCGAGCAGCTGCATCAAATATCATCGGATTCCATTCTGCTTGTCCAGGCACTAATGCTTCGAAGTGCAGCAAATTCTGCCTGTCCAGGCATTAATGCTCGGAAGTGCCTGTCCAGGCATTAATGCCTAGTGCAATATATTCTGCCTGTTCAGGCATTAGTGCTCGGAAGTGCCTGTCCGGGCATTAATTCCTGGAAGTGCAGTATATATTCTGCCTGTCCAGGCATTAATGCTCGGAAGTGCACTTCCAGGCATTAATTCCTGGAAGTGCAGTATATATTCTGCCTGTCCAGGCATTAATGCTCGGAAGTGCCTGTCCAGGCATTAATGCCTATAGTGCAGTATATATTCTGCCTGTCCAGGCATTAATGCTCGGAAGTGACTGTCCAGGCATTAATTCCTGGAAGTGCAGTATATATTTTGCCTGTCCAGGCATTAATGCTCGGAAGTGCACTTCCAGGCATTAATTCCTGGAAGTGCAGTATATATTCTGCCTGTCCAGGCATTAATGCTCGGAAGTGCACTTCCAGGCATTAATGCCTGGAAGTGCAGTATATGTCCTGCCTGTCCAGGCATTAATGCTCGGAAGTGCCTGTCCAGGCATTAATGCTTAGGAACTGCAATATGCCGACCGACATTCTGCCTGTCCAGGCATTACATACTCAAGTGTATTTCCCTCTCCAGCATCTGCCTACCACGACGAATATCAAAAGCAATAAACATGGCAAGTGAACGTGCATGAACAAACTTGCTTCAAGCTTTTTCACGGCTCGGCCCTGATTCTGCACTCGTCTCGGTCTTCTTGGAAGCGAGACTTCACCTCCAAGTCTTAAGGCTTCGGTCTAGGACTGATCGAGTTTCAGTCTGCCTCAGCCGCTTGGTCACAAAAACCTATGTTCAAATCGATTGATCTCAAAATCGAAAGGGCTCAGCTCTCTGCATCACTGCTCTGGCGCTTGAGCTTCTTGTCCTTGGTCTGGGTCTCCTTGCAGACTGCCAAGTTCTTCTTCAGGTTCTTCGAAGCCTTCAACGACTTGAGGGCCATCAGGAGGCTCTTTTTCACAGCATCCTTACTGGCGAGGTTCTCAATGCCCGACCCCACCTGTTTCAAGGTCTTCGACAGATCCTCCAGGTTCTGCTGGACGTCCTTCTTCTCGTTCTTCCTGAGCTTCGACTCCAGGAGCAGCATCTCAAAGAAGGTCTCTTCCTTCTGCAGCTCGGACTTGAAGAGGGTCAACTTCTTGTTGAACTCACTCTTGTTGTCTGTCTCCTCAATCTGCGACAACTTCTCCCAATCCATGCTCTTCGCCTTCGACTTCGACGATGAGGAAGTCCTCTTCGTTTTCTTCTTCTTCGTGATCGTCACCTTCTTCGCGTGGCTGGACTCGCTGTCTTCCTCGTCGCTGGAGCTCTGGTCTTGGTCATCATTCATCTTCGTAATGACAGACTTCAAGTCGGGGTCGATCTTCATCTCCTTCACCTGCTCCATGTCCTGCAGCTCCTCGAAAGTGAGCTTGTCCAAGGCGAGAGCCCTGTTCTTGCCGACCTTCTTGTCGGGGCCCTGCACTGAGCAGCTCTTCTTTTTCTCAAAGCCTTCGGATTCCTTGTCGTGCACGTTGGCGAACTCCAAAAAGTTCGAGTCTGTCTTCGATCTTCTCCATTTCATGGTTCCCGCCTTCAAGCGGGCCAATGCCTCCGTCTTGCCGTAGCGATTCTGCATGGTTTTCCAGGGTTCCCAAGTCACCTGAACCTGGTGCGAGCTCATCTTCGTCAGTTGCAAGCATGCTTTCTGGTAGTACTTCCCGCACTTCCCTTCATCAAGAAGCCAGCTGGTCAACATGTCTTGCTTTCTCTTGTTTCCACCGGCACCGCTTGTCTGGTCTCGGTAGGATGCATCACATCCTTCCTTTTGCCGTCCTTTCTCAAAGAGTTTCCAGACCATCTGTTGTTCACTCGAGGGCAACATCTTAAAGGCGTTGAAGACCTCCTTGCCCGACCAGCCTTTCACCTCCAACAACTCGGAGTGCGTCTTGATGTTCGTCAAGCTCAGCGGGAACTTCTCCTTCGTCTTCTCCGGCTCGCTGACCTCAGGGTCGTTCTCTTTCTCGTGCTCCTCCTCCGGCTCTTCCTCGTCCTCCACGTGCTCTTCCTCGTGCCCTGCCTTCGACTCCTTGGTCTTGTCGTTCTTCTTCTCCTTGGGCTCCTTCTTGGACTGCTTGTCGTTCTTCTGCTCCTTGGACTGCTCCTTCTTGGGCTTCTTGTCGTTCTTCTCCTCCTTGGACGGCTCCTTCTTGGACTGCTTGTTGTTCTTCGTGGGCGGCTTCTCGTCCTTCGTGGTGTCCTCGGGCTTCGTCTTCTCCTCGTCCTTCTTGGCCGCCTTCTTCTTCTCAACAGGAAGAAGCAACGAGGGCTTCTTCAGGATCGGCTTTAGAACCTTCCCGACCGCCTTCACAGCTGCAGGCTTTTTCATGGCTCGATCTCTCAAGCTATGTTCCTAGCTGTCGATCTCTTGAGACAAAACTCTGGTATGAAAAGGACTATCCTTCCTGTCTGTTCTGTTTCCTTGTCTGTCCAGACACTATTCAATCTCTTTAAAATTTCCTTGTCTGTCCAGACACTAATCAATCTCTTTAAAATTTCCTTGTCTGTCCAGACACTAATCAATCTCTTTAAAATTTCCTTGTCTGTCCAGACACTAATCAATCTCTTTAAAATTTCCTTGTCTGTCCAGACACACTCAATCTCTATACCGTGTCTGTCAGACATGGAATGTTATTCTATTCGATCTATAGTCTTGTTTGTCCAGGCAACATGTCTTGGCGGAGTGCATGGTTTAATGTGTTTACAGATTATATAAGTATATAGTTTTATTTGGAAGGGGGGGTCTTCGGGTTTTGGAATTAATTTAAGGTTTCAGGTCGATATATAGGCTTGGGTTTGCTCCTGTTTTGGGGCTTCGATCTCTGTGTTGACAAATTGTGGCTTAAGCATGGGTGGGG